AGCAGCTGGCCAATGGGGACATTTCAGGTGGGTCCGCTGTATGGCGCGGGCGCCCCCCAGCGGCGACACGCAGCGGCTCTCCTTTGGGTTGAGCCTATCGACTGCGTTCTGGACGTAGTCCGCGGGAACGACATTTCTCGCGAGAGCAGGGCCGCTATTTCTGCGCGTGCGCAAATTGCCCTAACCTCTTTCTGTTACTGCGGCGCGAGGAACCATGAGGTGAGTACCATCAGAATGCCATCCGCGTTCATCCGCATTTCTTGGTGCCGGGCTGACTTCACCATGGGGCATCTTTACCGCGGGTCGGCTTGCGGGCCTGTTTTCCCGCCAGGTTCTGGGCTCCAGTCGCCCGATGCGGTGCCGGAGGATCCTGTCTTGGGTCGCACGCCCGGGGCGCTAGTGGGTGGCGGGCCGGCCCTGAGCACGCTCGCTTCTCTCCCGCAGCAGCAAAGTCTCTCGCGACACCCTGTACGAGGCGGTGCGGGAAGTCCTGCACGGAAACCAGCGCAAGCGCCGCAAGTAAGTGCGGGCCTCCCCGGAAGCCCAGGTTCCGGGTGGTGTGGGAAGCGGGCCGCTGGTGACGTTGTCCCTTCCTCCAAGGTTTCTGGAAACGGTGGAGCTGCAGATCAGCTTGAAGAACTATGATCCCCAGAAGGACAAGCGCTTCTCGGGCACCGTCAGGTTGGCACCGTCCTGACCCCACCCGGCCCTCAGTGCCCCGTGCCGGTCTGCTCCCTTTGAGGCTCTCGCCGAGCCCGGGCGGCCCCGTGCGTACTGACGTGCCAGGGGAGTTCAGGCACCCTGCCCCGGGCAGGCGGCTGGGCGGACCCCCACCCTGGGTCGTAAAACATGAGGGGAGGCGTGGGGAGGCCTTGGCCGAGCCCGCCGGCTAGTCTGAGAAGCCAGGCTGGCTGTTGGTGAATGTGGAGACTCTGGGTAAGCTCACGTGTGCTCGGTCCCAGCCCCTCCACCTGCCCCTGGGGCCCAGGGCTGGGCATGACCTGTTCTGTCCCCCCAAATGCAGGCTTAAGTCCACTCCCCGCCCTAAGTTCTCTGTGTGCGTCCTGGGGGACCAGCAGCACTGTGACGAGGCCAAGGCTGTGGATATCCCCCACATGGACATCGAGGCATTGAAGAAGCTCAACAAGAATAAGAAGTTGGTCAAGAAGCTGGGTGAGCCAGCCGGCCTGGATTTATATTTTTTGTTCTACTAGGGATATGATGGTGGTAGAATGGTTTTTCTGCCATTTGGGTTTTTTAATGACCACAGTCAGGATCACAAAAGTAAGGACTGCTATACTTGGTTAGTTAGTTTTGGTGGACTTTCTTTTAATATTTGGAGGGTTAGGATTTTATAAAGGTGGCCATTTGGCTTTTAGGAGGTGAGATTTTACTGTAATGAAAACATACTCGGCCTGATTATGGAAGATAGTGTCATGTGAAGTTAAGTCAACTAGCCCAGGTGCTGTGATTTGGGATTTGTTTAAGCAATGGTATTAGATCTGTTTTACAGCTAAGAAACTGATGTCCTCAGTTGTCATCTGTCAGCTAGAAAGAGAGGAGGAAGAATTTGAACCCAGGCAATCTTGAGTAGAGAGTGCTTTGCATGCACTGTGCCATGGATTTGGGGTCATTCTGGTCTTCTGAAGCGAGGTTTCAGGACCATTTCTGAGGATGGAGCTAGATACTGCATGGGCGTGTGAAGGGTTGAAAAGACTTGGTCCCTGGGGCTGGGGGCAAGGGGCTGCTTGGATTGTAGTTCATTTCTGTGGTTGATTCAGGTGTTTTTCTGACCCTAACACCCATGTTTAGCAGTCTCTTTGTCTAGGACCTAAGCAGCCAAATGTTTTCCTCTTTTCCAGCCAAGAAGTATGATGCCTTTTTGGCTTCAGAGTCCTTGATAAAGCAGATTCCACGAATCCTGGGTCCAGGCCTAAATAAGGCTGGCAAATTCCCTTCCCTGCTGACACACAATGAAAACATGGTGGCCAAAGTTGATGAGGTGAAATCCACAATCAAGTTTCAGATGAAGAAGGTAATGCAGTCTGGTCTGTTGCCATGGGTGAGGGGTGTTGGCAGAATTTTTAAATTTCAGGTTTTATCTAGCCTAAACAGAGCCCATCAGAACTCTGGTTCATATTTCCTTGAACACAGGATATTTGACAGCAGGGGAAGTGAGTAGAATGAAGCTTTCTTTTCTGAATAGCTCTAGTCAGAGCTATTCAGAAAGCTTCATTCTACTCATTGGAGTCTAGAATCCAAGTATTGCTCCTTGGGTCACTGTGGGAGGAGGGATGAGCTGTCGGCCACCCCTTACTAACCTTACTTGACCCTCTTCCCTCCATCCAGGTGCTATGTCTGGCTGTTGCTGTTGGTCATGTGAAGATGACAGATGATGAGCTTGTGTATAACATCCACCTGGCTGTCAACTTCCTGGTGTCATTGCTCAAGAAGAATTGGCAGAATGTCCGGGCTTTATACATCAAGAGCACCATGGGCAAGCCCCAGCGCCTATATTAAGGCACATCCTAATAAATCCTAGTGCTACCATCTCTTAGTCTGCCTGTGATTAGAAATGGACTCTGTTTTCTGCGCTGATAGTTGCATGTGTTAGAATTATTGGTAGCTAGTTGTATATGGTTTGTCACCTTGGTGATGGGCAGTTGGGTACCATACTATGGATTGCACTCTCCTTCCTGCCACCAAAGTCATGTAGTCTTGAGCCCTCATACCTAGAGTATGTGATAGTAGGGTTGCTGACAAGATTGAAGCTTTTTTTAAAAAAAATATGTATTTTAGTTGTAAATGGACAAACACCTTTATTTTGTTTATTTTTTATGTGGTGCTGAGGATTGAATCCAGGGCCCCCTTTATAGAGTCCTTAGTATCTTGTGGATCCTGTATTTTGAGTTCTAGATTGAAAGGTAAATGTCTGGGGAAATACAAATAACACAGAATTTTAGTTGCTGGATTCTGGTGATAACTTTGTAGAACAAGCAGTGGGTGGAGTCAGAATGTGGAAATTTCCAAGCTCTTTGTTCCAGGCAGCTCAACCACTTCCCTAGCCTTAAGACCTTCCCTGTTACAGTACTTGACTCCAGCATCCAATGCTGATGCAGAAATGCTTATGCTGGTTTAACCTTTGTCTTGGATCTGCTTCATTTAACTTTGGTAAACAGAAAAATCAGTGCATCCTTATGCAGGGTGTGTGTGGTTTTGAGGAGACAGTGTCTCCCTAGGTTGCCCACACTGGCTTTAAACTCAGGCTCCTCCTGGGTAGCTGGGAGTAAAGGCATATACCAGTGCACTTGACCTGAAAGGTTAATCCAAAGGATAATGCTATAGTTGAGACAAGCTTTGTCATTGAACTGAAAAATGAAGTTTTCACCCAAGATTTTGCTTTTTTGGAGGGGATACCAGGTATTGAACTCATGGCACTTAACCACTGAGCCATATCCTAGTGCTAATTTTGTTACTTTGAGACTGGGTCTCACTGAATTGCTTAGTGCCTCACTTTTGCAGAGGCTGGCTTTGGACTCAACAGTCCAGCCTCAGCCTCCAGAGCTGCTGGGATTACAGGCCTTGCATTTTTTAAAAAAAAATTTATGTGGTGCTGAGGATTGAACCCAGCGTCTTGCACGTGCAAGGTGAGTGCTCTACAGCTAAGCCATACCCTCAGCCCCTGGCCCTGCATTTTTTGAGTAAGTTGTAACTCCTGCTTTCTGGTAAGATAGCTAACTACAGTGTAAAGGGAATGAGCATGAAGCTTGAGTTGCAAGGTACTGGGCAGAGCCTCCTTCCTCTTCTGGCTGTTAAGCTAGTAAAGGAATAGGAAAAGGTTAGGGCCCATTTCTTAAGAGCCTTGATCTTGCATCCAGGGATGACTTTTCACCCCTAGGCCAGGCATATGGGTCCTCCCTAAATGAATACCTGCCTCCAGGAGGCCCATCCAAGTGACACGCAGTCTTTCTAGTTCAGTGGACCTGACTCAGTATGGAAACCCCATCTATAAATTTGAGGTTGGACCAGATGAACTCACAGGCTAGAATTCTAGAGTAGGATTAGTAAGATTTGGAACACAACTGACCCACAAACAAATAACTTTAATTTTTTTTTTTTTCTTGAGCAGGAACTAGGCCTTGAGGGCCTTGCCCCAGCCCAGAACCACATTTATAATATAACCCATCACAGCTGGATTTAAAAAATACACAAAAATATATATATATAATAAACATTATAAAACCTAGGTGGGATTTGGAGGTGGCCTGAGCAATATGCAAACTGTGAGGACCTTCAGGAAGCTCGGGCAAGGTGGGGTGGTGGTAAGGAAGGGGCACAGTACTTCATATGAAACTTATAAATACCCAGAGGTGAAGGTGGCTGGGGGACAGTCCACCAGCTCTCAGAGGCTTGGGTATGGGGAAGGGTTAACGGGACTGGGAAGCTGCTGCCCAGGGCAAGATCTGAGCAGGGGGCTTACCCTGTAGGGTACATGGAGGCTCTGGTGCCACTGGCTGGCTTGCAGACTCGAGTACCTAGGAGCCTCTCTGCCCTGTCCAAACAGGTACTTCCCCATAGTGGGGAATGCTGGCAGGAGGTACTATATCCCGACCCCCAACCCACCAGTCCTTGGCAGTTCCACTCCTCACTCCCATACAGACCCACCACTGACCAGCCCCCAGGAAGTAAACCTGGGCTCTAGCTCTACCCATCCCCCACTGGGAGCTGCAGAGTCAGGATTGCACAGGCCACACATAAGGAGCCTGGCTTCAGACCTGGCACACAGGAGATGCAAAGAAACATGGGCCCCTCTCAACCAGGCCCCCAACCTGATGCTCTTTCCCCCTCTGCAGGCTGCCTCCCTGGGTCTCCATTCTACCTTGCCCATCGCATTCCCCTGGAGGCCAGGAGCCACACACTGGAGCCTGAGGGGGTCCTCCATCCCCACAGAACCAGCTGATGGTGGTCAGTGCCCTGGGCAAGCTGCCCCACTACTGAGCCCTCCTCTCTTCTCTCACAATTAAAGCGCAGAACAGTGGCAGGGAGTGTGTGTGCCAGGGATGGGCGGGGAGGCCTCTTGGGTCCAGGGCCTGAGGCCTGGCAGGTGGAAGAGTTCTCAACCTGGACTCCTGGGGGTGCCAGGCAGGTGTGTGGAAAAGATGCTCATCTTGCAACCTTGAGGAGGCGCAGAGAACACCCTAGTCTTTGACAAGCTTGTAGACGTGGTGCTGGGCCCCATGCTCACTGGTGGAGACTTCGAAGACAAAAGCAATGACGAGCAGGGTCTCCTGGGAGTCTCGGCTTGTGACCACCTGGGGGGCAGGTAGGGCGGTTCACGGGGGGCAGCCAGGGGCAGGGAGCTGGATGAGCCCTTCTGCGTTGGTCTCAAGTCTCATCTCAGCCACCATTCTGCTACCCCACTTAGCTCCCTGGCCTGTGGCCCTCCTGGGACACCCGGTGAGCCCTGCTGCCCACACACCTGCAAGATGGTGAAGTTCTCCAGGACGCTGTTCATCATGTACTTCTCGGGCAGGTGCTTCAGCTTGTGGATGAAGTTGATCATGTACTCACACATGGGCGAGCGGTGGATGCGGTACACAAAGCGGCCATTCTCCAGCCGGGCATACTCCGTCTGGGAGGGCCAGAAGACATCACCAAGCCTGCCCATACTGGCCCACCCACCCTGTCCCATGGCCCCACTCACCTCCACCTTCTCCACCACCTGCTTGCCAAAGGAGCACACCTTAGTGGACACGCTGATGGTCATGCTGTCGGCAGAACTGTACTGGGAGCTGACCCCATAGAAGGCTCCTGGGCCCTCCTGGATAGTACTGTTGAGGTCAGCCTGGGAATAGGGCAGGGGGTGGGAGTGGATGTCTCAGTTCCTGGCAGAGGCCAGTGGGAGGTGTCACACCCCAGGACCTGTCTCTGGCACTCAGCCCACAGGCCACAGGAGAAGAGCTGGATTAGGGTCAGTTTAGGAAGCTGGATGTGCTGCCCATCTGGGGTGGGGAAGGGTGCTGGGAGCAGGGAGGGACCAGGGTGGCTCACCCAGAACTTGACAAGGAAGAAGGCATTAGGGGGCCCCTTCTCATAAAGCTCCTTCAGTCCACCCTTTTTCTCAGGGAACTTGTCATAGATCTGCCGCACGTCTACTGCCTCCAGGGGCGGGTCTGAGAAGGCGGGGTTCGTCTGGCCGATGTGCACAAACAGGTGTTTGCTGTACTGTGGGGAGGGCCCAGACAGGGTCAGGGGCACTGGGCACACAGGCCTGGACAGGGGGCTGCACAGGGACTCATGATCCTGACACAGGGTCCTGAACCGCGCAGCATCACCCCCGCCCCACACACATTACCGTGTCGGGGTCTCGCTGCACCTCCATAAAGGCCGAATATTCAAGCAGCCGCAGCCGGGAGGAGGCGATGGTGCGGTCCTGCCACACGGGCACAGAGGCAGCAGCTGGGGGCAGCGGGGCCAGGGGCTCGTAACCTGTGAGGTGAGATGGAGCCTCCTCTGCACGGGCACAGGTGTGTTATCACACACAGAACTGCCATGGCCTGCACCAGGCTCTGCGCAAATAGGCACCCGGTGCCATGGTGCCCCTCAGAGTAGGAACAGGCTGGATTCTGACTTCCTGCGAGGTGTCCTGTACACTGTACACCCACAGAAGGTAGCCCTTACAGCACACGACACACACGCTTCTTTGTGTCACTATTAAAATGTGTCTAAACAGAAAATGCCAAAAAGTAAAAAGAGAAAATAACAACTACCCAGAACCCCAACACCTAGAGAGACAATTTGGGAAGATGTTTACGGGAGCTTTCCAGACACAGCGACACATGTGAATGAGCTGTGTCTTGGCCACATATCGTTTTCTGCAATAGTTCCGGAAGCAACAGCAAGATTGTAAGTCCCAATCTCCTGTAGGTGTGGTACACCAGAGTTCCACAACACACACACGTGAGCGCGCACACACACACACACTCTGGCACACATGTGCACACTGCAGGGGCACTGCCAAGGGAGGGGTGGTGGTGGGCAGCCTTGCCGGGGCACTTACTGCTGAGCGTGGGTGGCAGGGGTGGCTGGATGGGGTAGGCTGGCTGCGCGAAGGGCTTGATGCTGCGGGCAGGACGGTGTGGTTAGAGGCTTTCCTTGGCACCTCTCACCTGCCCCAGTGCCTCATCTGGGACCCCAATAGGAAGTCACCCAGCCTTTCTGCTGAAGCCCAGGAATGTCTGCTGACAAGTTAACTCGCAACCTTTCTGTTTCTTTCACATTTTAACTTTCATGAAATCCTCTGCGCTCACCATTGGTGGACATGTTGAAGGTCGCCTTTCAGCCCCACCCCCACCCTGGAAAGCTGTTCATTAAACTGCGGGTGTGACTTACAATACGTGTTGTAAGAAGGCCAGTAGCTTGACCACCTGCCTGACTCAGGTGAACCCAGTGAAAAATAAACCAAGGGCCGACATAAGCGGATGGCGGGGCTGCAGGTGACGAGCCCAGGAGCACAGAGCTGGGAGCCCCGCTGCAGCCTCCGGTCCTATAGTTTTGCATTCCAGCTCTGCACAGCTGGGCTGGGGCCCAGATGGGGGAGCCCGTGGCTGGCAGGAGGGGACCTGCAGTACTCACTCCTGAGAGGGTCCAGGCTGCTGTCCCAGGAGAGGGGGGCTGCTCCAGAACTGCAGATGGGACAAAGCCAGGGCCTTCAGGATCCATGAATCCCAGAAGGCCCAGACCCCCCAGCCCCATCTCCCAGGATCCAGTACCCTTGAGGACGTGGAGAAGACGGCCTGCGGCAGAGGGGAGGGCGGGCTGAACTTGTTCTGCAGGACACTGGCGGAGACAATCTGGGCAGAGGACATGGATGCCATGCTCTGGAGGGCTTTGTCCTTGGAGACCTGGTCCTGGGGATGGGAGGGTAGAAGTGAGACCTGTGCCAGGCCCCCCGGCCCAGAGGGCTTTGGGAGGCCAGGTGTGGACTCCAGTCCCAGCTCTGCCATGAGGTCTCTTGAGTGTCTTCCCTGAGCCCAATCGCCTAGGTGTACGTCAACTCCCTGACCACAACCCATAGTGAGGAACAGCACTGCTTTATGCCATAGCCCACTGTGGCCGTCCCTCGGGATCCATGGGGAACAGGATCCAAATGCTCAGGAGTCCCTTATGTAAACTGGTTCTGCATTTTAAAGAACCTACACATTCTTCTGTGTCCTTTCAATCATCTCCAGATTATTTCTAATATCTAGCGCAATACAAATTATATGCAAATTGTCCTCCCCCAAGAGGCCCGGAGCATGGGTGCGAGTAACAGTTTACTTTCAGAGAGGTCTTGCCAAGATGCTGAGGCTGGCCTTGAACATCTTCCTGCCTCAGCCTCTGGAGTTGCTGGGATTACATGTGCCCTTGCACCCGGCATAAAAAATTTTTATATTAGAATTTTTAGGGAATAATGTCAAGGAAAAGAGGTCTGTATGTGTTCAGTACAGACAATCTTTTTCAAATATTTTAAAATCTGGGGCTGGTTGAATCCCCAGGTTCAGAACCCATGGAAACAGAAGCCTAGCAGTATCTACCAAAATATTTCCCCTTGATGGACACCGCACACACTCGTAATTTCTATTTCTTCAGGGTGTCTTCAAGTATGATACGTGGACCAACAGCACCAGCATCACCAGGGAGCAGGTGAGAAAATTAACCTTTCAGGCCTCAACATGGACCTAAGGAATCAGGAACCCTGAGGGAAGTCCCAGAGGCCTGTTTGAACGAGCCCCTCCGGGGGACCTGCCTCCCACCGAAGCCTGTGAACAACTGCATTTCATTTTTACAAATGCTGCTTGCAAACGTGTTAAACTGATTTCATAATCCATAATTTGTTTTTGTTTGTTTGTCTGCGGTGCTGAGGACTGAATCCTGGGCCTGGCGCGTGCTAGGCAAGCCTCTACCACCAAGCCACACCCAGAGTCCCCTGGACTCTGTAATTTGAAAACTCCACAGGTGGCGCTCTAGACCCTCCCCGGGGAGGCGGTGCAACTTACCAGGTTCATGGCCTGTGAAGGAGAGGAGGACAGATTAGAAGAGACATGGTGACAGCTCCATGGGGCAAGGGGACATGTCTTTTCACCTACCCCCACCCAGTGCCCACCTGGCTATCAGCTCCCGGGGAGCCCAGGGAAGCTTAGAGGCAGCCGTGGGCACTGCCCACCCGCCGAAGGGAGTGCCTGCCAGCTGGGGGTGCCCTGGAAGGGGTAGGATGAAGGGGGGACAAGCTGGCACACCCTGCATCTGTCCCCTGGAACTGTGTCTAGGATGGGGAGCTAGGGGCAGGGAAAGGAGCATCCGGGCAGCTCCTCAACCCCAGACCCAGGTCCTCAGGCACAGAGCAGCCAGGACCATGAGGAAATGGCGTGCCCACCTCCTCAGCCCTGCCAGCCAGCATCCACCTGCCCACCTGGAGTCCCCATGCGATTAGCAAGCAGCAATCAGAATGAAGGAGAAAAGGAATCAGAGGAGAGATGGCTCTTAGTGGCCCCAAGTCGGTCTCCCTCTCTCTCGCTGTAGGGCTGCCACCCCCCACTCTCGGGCTCCTGCTCAGTCTCCAGGGGCTGTGGCCCTGAGAAGCCTGTCACGGCCTTCGGGCTCCCGGCTCACACCTGTGCTTCTGAGACCCCCGCTCAGCGCTCAGCCCTCAGCCCTCTCCTGGGCAGAGCCAGGCCGAGTGACAGGGAGCCCCATACCTTCAACTTGGACTGAATCTCCCGAGATTTCCGCCTGGCTAGAACCTGCAAGTGGCTAGAGACCTGTAGAGAGAGAGCAAGAAAGAAAGAAAAAAGAACGGAAAGAGAGCAAGAACACAGCTTAGCCAGAGAAGAGGCACGGCGGGGCTGGAGAGCCGTGAGGCAGAGGCCCGGGCTGTGCAGAGTGGCAGAGGCACCGTGAGGAGGGGCCCAGGGAGGCCTGAGGCCCCAGTCAGGCGCCCAACATACCTTGATGCCAACCTGGTACTCCCGCACCTTCTTCCGAGCTAGAACCTGTATGTGGCTGGACACCTAGGGGCCGCCCCGCGTCCCGCCGAGAGGAAAACACAGACAGTGAGGAGGCACAGCCACGGGGTGGGCCATGGGCAGGGTGATCCCAGCCCTCATCTCTGGGGGACCAAATGTAAATGGGGGAACTGTGGGCAGTTGCCTCCTGGCACTGCCAATTCTGCTCTCATCTTGGTCTTGTATTGATTAAGAGCCCACCATGTCTTCCAGGACCACCATGTACAGTTATGTAGTTTGTTCACTGCACAAAAATACCTGGCCAGAGGGTACCAGTGAGAGTTGAAATCTAGCCCTGGTACAGGGCTGCACCTAGCTCAGAGGAAGGGTGTCTTTCCCCCTCTTTTTCTCACTGGTGTCCTTAGAGGAGAGACCTTTTTCTCACACGACAGAGGATAGCAATAGCCAGGATGCTCCAGCTAGTCATTAGGTCATACACTAAGGCCAAGATCTCCCTGCTACCGCTGCCCACCTCCTGTCCACCACGGCAGCTTGCTAGCCCATAAACCCAGCTTCTTTCCTAACACATGTGCCTTCCCTCTCCTTGGACTAACATGCTGGCCTGGGGTAAGTACACAGTAAGTGCTCTTAATTGCACCTCGGGCTCTGCCAGCAACCTCCTTCCTGCAGCCTCTATGGGCAACCCTGAGCTAATCCCACTCTTAGTGTGTATGTCCTGGGCTCGTGTGCCTGACGTCCTCAAGGAACAAACCGAGTCCCAGAGATCCACTGTCAGCCACTGCACTGGCTCTTGGCTTTCTCTGCAAGTTGCTTTTGTCCCCACAGAGACACAGTTTCTTTTCCTTTTTAATCACAGCCTGAAAGTTACTATGTATGTGGTGCTCAGCAGCTCTGCTACTGGGTTAGGACCTGGTAGGCCTCCTCCCAGGCAGCACTGCACACAGGAATCAGGCTCAGGGGCAGCGAGATTAAGGACCACTTTAGGCCACGAGATGCCATGTTCACTAAGCACACACGAATTCAGCACTTCACACACACACAAATTCATTTGATCTTTGTAGCAGCACTAATCCAACTTCTGACAGATGATGAAATCTAAGCACAGAGGGGTTAAGCAATTATTCCTAGGACACCCAGCTGTGTGCAAGAGCTGCGACTTGAACCCAGGCTGCCGGATGCCCCAGCCCACTTGCTTCCCTACCAAGCTATTCTACCAGGACTCCTCAGACCCGTAGGCACAGGGAACCACCTCCAATGGCCAGCTCTGTGACAGCTGAAAGTCACATGGGACTCAATCCCAACTTAATATTCAGCTGTTCGGTCAACGTGGAGGCATGGCACTTGCTATTAACTGCTGCATGCAATTAATCTGAAAAAAACTAAAACTGCATTTCTTTGTCCCAAACTCCCGTCAGCTAGTTGGTCATTGTCACACACACAGACAAGCCCCATCCACACAACCACAGGATGGGTCCCCTTTTTGAAGGGGACGTTAGACGTAAAACCCAGAGTCCTAACCGAGAATAAAGCTGGAGGGAGTCCCACTGGTGGAGAAGGATGAGGACGGTGGTTTGTAAACACCAGGCTGGCCATGAAGCAGGGCTCAGAGCGCCCCCTTCCTGGCCCAGGACAGCTCTGTTTATAGTAAGGACAGTGACGGTAACAGCAGTGACAGTGGCAAACGCTTACAGGGCACGGTTTCCAGCCCTCACACCTTGGCTCCCTTAACGGCTGAAGAACTGAGGCTGGGGGACTCCCCCCTGCCCCTGGCAGCAGAGCTGGGTTTTGGACCTGGGGTCTGAGCCTCGAGTCCCTGTTCTTAACCAACAGGCTCGACTCCTTCATGGGCCCAGGGACGGGGTGGGCAGCTGCCTGCCGCCCCCTGGAGCCTGCGCAGCGTGGAACCTCAGAGTGAGCTCAGTGAATTCACGCTGCACCTTCGAGGTGGGGCAGGGAGGTGTTTAGTCAATGTTTAGTCAATGGTCCAAATCTCCCCCAGACAGGGAGGGTGGGAGGCTGAAGGTGGGAACGGCCTCCCTCCCTTCCTCCAGGTTCCTGCCTCCAGCCCAGCCTCACTCCCAGGCACCCCAAATGCAACTCAGCAAAACCCACGGCCCTCCGGGTTTCCTGCCACCACCCACTGCTTTCTCTGGACCAGAAGCCATCACTGTTTCTCTCTCCATTCCCACCACCACCGTCACCGTCACCCTTGTCCAGGGCCTTCTCCACCTCCCGGTCAGTCTCCCTGCCTCCACCGGGCCCTCCCTGATCCACTGCCCTGGCTGACCCAGGGCCTCCTTCCTCCACAGCTGCCACCTTACACTCTCTCTAAACCGGCCTTGAATCCTGCCACCCTGGGGGACACTGTCACCCACACTTCTAGCTGAACAACAGCCTCTCCCACTCCACACTACACTGCCCCTGGGTGGCTCGCCCTGTCCAGTGAGCTGAATCCTGGATCCACCCACTCCAGCCCAGTGACATGGAGGAGTTACTTAACCTCCCTGTGCCTCAGTTTCCTCATCTGAAAAATGGAGACAATCACTGTGCCCACCTCCTAAGTTGCTGAGAGGATTAAATAAATTGGTATAAAGTGAGTTTTGCAGGGATTTAGGATTTTTATGATTATACTCAGGTGTCACTTAAGGATGGGAAGAGTTCTGAGAAGTGTATCATTAAGTTGTTTTGCCACTGTGCAAACATCAGAGGGTACTTACACAAGCCTGGAGGTACAGCCTGCCACACACCTAGGCTGCATGGTACAGACTGTGGTACACATGGCCTCCGGTGACTAACACATCATTACGTGGTGTGTGACTGCACTGCAATCTGCATAGCCAACTTGCTCAGCCTGAAAGGGTCCTCCTTTTCTTCTCTGACTCTTAAAAATGCAGCTCAGGTGCCACCTCTTCCAGGAAGCCCTCCCTCGCCCTCCTCCTGACCTGGTCTGGTTTAGATGCTCATCTGCCTGTCTATCAGTGCCCTGCACACCCCTGTCTCAGCCAGGCCATCCTGCTCTGTACTTGTCTGTCTCCCTGACGGTGACTGGGCCACTCAGGTGGTGGCTTTTCTGTAGGCCCTGAAGTACAGGCCATGGGTGGGTGGCAGGTAGTCAGGGAAGACGGTGGGGCCACCTCCCCAGGAGCTACGAGTGGGCCCGGGAGGACACCCGGGACAGGGGAGCATCAATGCAGCAGGGCAGGGCAGGCTGGGCAGGCTGCTCTGAAGAGGGGGCAGCTCGGAGCAGGCCCGGGGGGTGCAGTCTAGGGGAGTGACCGGTCTCGGTACCTGTTTCCTTGTCCGCGTCTTTCCTGTCCTCAATTTAATGTAGCGCGCGATCAGCTCATTCCGACCTAGATGAGGTAAGAGAGAAAATGAGGCGAGGGAAGAGGGCAGAGCGGAGACCCCACAGGGACCCTTCCTCACTGTCCCCAAGCTGCACAAGTGGGCAGGTGAGGGTGGCTGGGGAGTCCCAGGTGCTGGGACCTGGGGGTGGCTCATCAGGAGAGATGGGGATGGGGGCTTTAGAGTAGGTGTCCTGCAGATGCCTGGGGCAGGTATGTTGTAGGACAGCCAGACAGGGGGCCCAGAGGGCCTGGCCTGGGTGGCACCCCTGTCACTCGAAGCCTGGAGCAGTGCTTCTCTCCTGGGTCACCAGCTTGGAAGCTGAGTGTTCATATCTGGGTGACCCAGCGGGTGGGCACCTCAGCACATGCCCATTTACAGCCTGAGAGATCTGGACTGAGGTCCAGCCTCACTGTGTCCTGGTCATGGGGCACCCTAGACAAGTCCCTTCCCTTCCTCTGTGAAGAAAGACCGGGAAAACAGGATAAAAGGAGTGGACGTATGGAACCTGTCTCCTACACAGACAACCTGTGAGAAAGGTGTCACTATGTGTGTCACGGTGTCCTTGTGCCTGCCGTCCCATATCTTAGGTTGCTGCTTCTCCTACTCCTAAGAGTGCCAAGCTGCCTGTGAGCCTCGTGGGGGCCCTGCTCAGCCCCCAGGAACCCTGGGGAACTGGCCCTGTGAGGGGGCCCCTGGACACATGCTTGGGTGTGTGCCAGCATCCTCTACCCCAAAATCTAAGCCCACTGTCCCCCAACCCCTTGGCCTCCACAGAATGGCCACATTCTCCAAATTCCTCTCCCATGACAGAGCCATCCCCACGTGCTCCGCCCATCACCCAGCCCCTCTCCACCCCACTCCCTCCACCCTGTCTAAAAATACCCTGTGGGGCTGCCCCGGCCATCTGGGAGGTGGCAGTGGGGGCAGGAAGCCCCCACCCTCTAGAAGGCACCCTGGAACATCTGCCTACGCAGGAAGAGGGGGCTCGGGTGCTAAGGACAGGCGCGGCACTGGGGGTGGAACGGAAGGAGGCACAGGCCTGCCATTTCCCACATTGCCAGAGTCCTGCCATTGGGAGAGGGGCTGGGGGCCTGTCTCCACAGCCACAGGCTGTTGGAGGGCTGCGCAGCTGGCGGAGACCAGGGCGGAAGGTCAGAGGGCCGGTTATTCCAGAGAAGGCAGCTCTGGGGGCTCCCTCGGGTGGTGCTGCGCAGGACCCGCGCTGCCTTCTGGAGCAGCCAGACGGCAGAAGGGGCCAGAAAACCCGGAGCGGGCAGGGAGAGGGGCGTCTGAAGAACTGAAAAGGCCCCGTCCTCCCGTCCTCCTCCCAGCACAGGCCCTGGTCACAGCGTGACCTTCCACCCGACCCTGGCAGGAGCTGTGCGGAGCTGTCTGGCGGGCCTCGCCCCCAGGCCTCCTTCCCACACCCTCCCAGGCAGGGACCCTCGCCCAGGCCTGGACACTGGACTGACCCAGTTTCCTGGGCCCACTGAGTCACCCCGAAACCTCCAGGCCGGCAGCGGAGGAGAGGCGGAGCAGGCGGGGTGAGGTGTGGGCTGCGGGCCGCCCGGCTGGTTTGAGGAGGCCCCAGACACCAGGCTGCACGCCCAGACTCGCCGGCCGCCTGCCCAGGCCCCAGGACTTCCCCGACTGGTTGGGTGAGGGGCAGAGAGCAGGGGGCGGGGCCGGGCGGCCGTCCGTGTCCCGTGCCTGCCGCACGCACCGTACATCTTGCCCTCGTCCGACAGGATGATCTTGCGCCGGCCGCAGGGCGGGTAGATGGCCAGGGCCTCCTGGAAGCTCTGCTCGATGTCCGGGCTCCACACGCCCTCGGCGTCGTTGTCCAGCCCCTTGTCCAGGCCCTCGGGCCCATCCTCCCGGGCCTCCCCGGGGCTGCTGCTGGCATTCCAGCTGTTGGACGCTATGGTGCTGGTTGCTCTGGGCTCTGGGCCTGAGCCCACTGGACGGCCTGAGCCTGGGGGGCAGAGGCGGAGGGTGAGTGCCAGGGTCCTTCTGCCCACAGCCATCTCCCATCCCCCAGTCATCTCTGGACCCTGCCCCCACCCCCAGTCCCACTCCAGGGCAGGGGCTCCCAGGTGTTCCAAGGTGGGATGGAGGTCACCAGAGGTCATGCTTCTTTAGAGCCGTGTGGACAAGCTACTTTACCTCTCTGAGCCTTCACCCTGTAAAATGAGGAAAGGGCCTCCTTAGGGGGGTTGTAGGGGTAAAAATTTAAATGAGATCATGACGAAGTACCAACCACAATGCCTGTCAGAACACTCAAGAAATAGTCCTGGTAGTGACCAATAACAGCAACAGCGACAATGCCATACACCTGCTTTCCCATACACACACATGCTCTTCCTGGGGGAAAAGCACTTGCATATGCATTCAGTCAGAGCCACAGCAGGGAAGGGATAACAGGAGCAATGCCCATTACTGCGGTAAAGAAAACTGAGGCTCACAAGTCAAACGGCTGCCAAGGCACCAAGAGGAGCAGCTAGGAGGAGCAGGGACAGGGCAAGGGGTTTCTGCTGCTCTCAGAGGGACATTGTGGCTCTCGCCCAGCAGAGAAGATGCCCAACCAGGGACCCTACCTCTCATTCTTACCCAACCAATGCAACCTTGCTGAGGAACACTGGTGGGATAAAGAGGGTCCCAGACCTGGGAGAGGAATGGCTGCTCCTTCCCTAAATAGACAACTAAGGAGAACCTTGCCGAGGAACCCAGACGCAGGGCAGGAAATGCCCCAGGAATTGGAAGAAGACAGCGACGATGGCTGCTGGCTGGCACGGGAATGGCTGAGAAGGTGCCCCGCCAACAGCCAAGCCAGACCCCACCCGCTCCTCCATCCCACTTCCTGTTCCCTCACCTCCAGGGCCCCAGTGCAGCCCATAAACCACCCACACGCCTCCCCTGTCCTGACCCACACAGCAGATGGGCCAGGGCTCTGTAAACTGAGTTCCGGGCAGTTGCCGGGCTGGGTTATTAATTCAGAGCACATCAGCCAGTCCCCACAAAGCACAGCCTCTCCTCAAACCCTCAACCCAGAACCTGCATGACTGATGCATATCAGAGTCCAGGGGCCACAGGGCCTGTGGGGCTGTGACCCTAGAGCTTTGCTCTGGGCAGCAGAAAACACAGTGGGCAGGGTATCCTCAGAGTGGGGAGCCCATCAGGAACCAGGGAGGGGAATATGACAGGCCCTGCTGAATGGCAGCAGGGGTGGGTGTGGGTGGGGGTATGGGGGCTTTCTCCCTGTGGAGCAACCTGTTTGCTCTGAGAAGCCTAAGGGGGTCACTAGTGGAATGGGGTTATCTGAGTATCAGGCAGACATTGAATTTAGACTTAATTTTACTACTAATAACAGCACCTGCCATGTGCCAGGCATGGCTCTGGAATTTTACACACGTTGACTCATTTAATCCGCATCATAATCCTACTGAAAAGACATCATTATTCCTACTTTACAGATAAGAAAGCCAAGGACAGAGAGGTTCAACAACTGGCTCAAGGAAACACAGCAAGTAAGTGCTAGAGCTGGTTCTGAGCCCAGGGTATTTGGCTGGAGTCTTTTAACCAAGCACGCCCAGCTCTCACAGCAGCTGCCTTGAGTCTGCTCAGTGGGTCCAGGCCAGGGGATCCCCTCAGTCCAAGCAGCTGGAGCAACTTCAAGACACCCCCGGCTCCGCCGCCACACACTGCTGTGTATGCCTTCGTGTGAGGCCTGCAAGACCACTAGGAAATTGTTTGCAGGGCCAGTGGGTAGCCAGAGTCAGAAGGGCCAGATTCCCCCATCCCCAGCCTGTCCCTCACGCCAGGAATCAGTATGCAGACCCCCCAGCCTCAAGGTCAATGCTTAGATAGGAATGAGGGGACAAAGGGGTGCTGTCTGGTGGGGGAGGGATGCTGAGGGGCCAGGGACTCTCATGTTGAAGCTGTTGGGAAGCTGGGCCTCTCCCCAAATTGGCTCTTAGAGGGAGGGAAAGAGGGGTTCCTTGGCTTCCACCCTCCTGGGGAAGTCCTCAACCCCTTCCCCAGGCCTCCCTCAGAGCAGCATGGGACCCAGTGCATGGGGGCCCTGGCAGCCCCAGACTTCTGCAGCAGCTTGCGGCCTCCCTTGTCCAGGAGGTGCCCCCCCTCCCCTCCCGGGTGATGTCAGCCCCGCCCCGCCCCCTCGGGAGCACTGTGGCCAAATATGGCGAACAGAGCAGCGACTGCCTGCCTGGAGCTGGGACAGACTGGGGGCAGGGCAGTGGCCCCTGGTGGCAGGACTAGGGCAGCTGGGGAGGGGGAGGGGCACAGTGGGGGCCCAAAGGACGAGTCAAGGAGAGAATGGGGACCCTGGTCCCTCATGCTGGCTCTTAGGCACCCGCAGGACTGACCTTCCAGGAAAGCCCCTGGGGGCAGAGGTGCCCACACAGGGGCCTGCAGGTGGCACCCCCAAAACAGACCTCTGCCCAGCAGCACCAGTGAGCAGATCTGCTGCTGTGTTCCTACCCCAGGAGGAGGTGCGCAAGTGGACAATCACAGCGGGCAGCTGCTGGGGGCTGGTGAGGTCTCCAGCGACTTCATCATGCAGGAAGGGTCAGCGTGAGGAGCCACCTGGCTGCTGTCTCCCAGAATTACTACCCTGTTTGCGGCAAGGACAGCGATTCACAGGTGCCCACCCCCTGGCCCCTGCCCCACTGGGACTGTCCTGGTGACAGAAGTGGCTACAGGCTCCTGTGTGAAATCCAGAGAGGGCTGACTGGGGCAGGAGGGCAGGCAGGGGTTGGGAGGGACGCAGCCCCCGGGGCAAACCACCTTGCTGGGCTGTGCCAGCAAGAGGGGCAGGAGACCCAGTGAAGGCTGGGAGTGGAGCCTGAGAGCAGAGGGGACAGGGTAGGACAGACAGACAAGAGTCCCAGAGAGAGAGCCAGAGGAGACGGGGTGCCAGAGCCACAGACAGATGGAAAAAGCTGGGGTGGGGGGAGAAGAGTAAAAAGAGTGGTCACACCACACAGAGACCAAGACCCAGGGAGGGGGCACGCAGCAGAGGGAGTAAAGGGGACAGGAAGGGAAAAGCCAATAAACCCAGATAAGACAGGCATGGGTGGGGCGGGGGTGCAGAGAAAGACAGGGACAAGGACAGAGATACCCAGAGGTCAGGGCAGACCAAAAAAGAAGGAGTGACGGGGAAGGCCACAGTGGAATCAGCCACATCCAGGCCATCCCGCCCCGTCCCGTCCCAGGGCTCAGCCCTCCACCTCCAGCTCAGGCCGCAGCCCTCAGGTGGGCTCCTCAGCCTCACCCTGCCTGACCAGCCCCACCTGCTTTGCCTTTCCCAGGCCCTCAGCCTTCCGGGGTCAGAAGGTGGCTCTGGGTGGTGGTGGCAAGCACAGGGGCTAGGAGGCTAGGTGAGCAGGCTTTGGGGCCCTGGAGCAGATAAGGGGCACCTTACTGCCCACTCCCCACCCTGAGGCCAGACCTGCTGGAAGAACTGGCTGGACAGCTCCAGGGATGCAGCCAGAGCTGAGCTGCTGCAGAGGCCCCAGCCCCGTCCCTGTCCCTAGCCCACCGGGCCCTATACAGCTCCTCCACCAGGGGGAGGGCGGTCCAGGCCAAAGCACAAGCTGTTTCAGAACTGTACCCTGGTGGGAAAGGCAGACTGGCAGGAGCACACCTACCCCGCCTCCCTGCCACCCTGCACCAGTCCACAGGGCAGCCTGTCTCCCCAGACCCCGGCCCTCCATTCAAGTGTGGGAGGATCTGTGAAGTGCATGAGCCCCCTGTCCTCACCCTGGACTTGGCTGAGCAGCAGGGTTGAGCATGGGAAGGCAAGGGGGGTGGGGGGACCTGGAGAGCTTCCCCAGCCCTTGGCCTTTCCTCCTACCCCCACCTACCCGCCCCACAGTGGGCCAGCTGTTCTCCAGCTGCCAAGACTCCCACCCTAGAAGTGGCCACGCTCTGGTTAGGACCAGACTGTGCTGGGGGGAGGGGGTAAGGATGATGTTTGCATCCCCCACCTCCAGCTCAAGGACCCTTGAAGGACCCTGCCAAGTGGCCACACCCTGCCAGGCTGCGGAGGGAGGACCCTCTTCCCTGGAGCAGGATCCGGGATTTTTACAGGAGGAAGCAATTTGCAGAGCCCACTAGGAGGAGATGGGGGCCTCCACCCCTCTCCCCCAGATCATTAATGTGCTTCCAATTTGGGAATCAAGCCTCTACCCCTCCTCCTCCAACCACTTGGGGTGGGGGTTTTCTTGGGACCAGTGTGGGGTGGATAGTCCCCCCAGGCTCCCTTCTCCAAAGCTCATCCATAGGTTGTCAGTGTAGGAGGCGGGCTGGAGAGAGTTTTCAAGTCTCCTGCAGAGAAGGGACCAGTTCTGGACCTTCTCCGGCTCTTTGAGACTGTCCTTCCCTCATCTGGTCCCATACCCAAGGAGGGAGTCCCAGGTATCAGTGGGGACCCCTTGGTTCTCAATTAACAGTGGGCTGCATCTTGGGCCCCTGGTGCCCTGGGTCACCCACTGAGCTGTACCAGCCACTCAGGCTTCCTCTGTGCTCTTCCTCTCTCACACATGCTCTGTTTACTGCCATTGTCCTGCTCATTCCCTGTCACCTGCGCCTCTCCCCTTCCTTTTTAAAATTTGTATTCTGACAAAATATACATAAAACATAAGTTTTACCATTGAAACTATTTTTATGTGCACAATTGAGTGGCACCAAGGACATTTCTTCTTATGGTTTTGAACAGTATCTTTTTCATGGTCTTCCACATAGATGCCACATGCATTGGGGTCTCAGGTCCCCACAAGCATCACCCACAGGATCCCACGCCCTGTCTGGCACAGCCCTGAGGACATCACCCACACCAGCTCAGATACTGACCACCCACAGAGCCGGTCTCAGTCACACCCCACAGTTTATTTCACACAGACATGCGCACTCAGAGTGGCAATCGCTGTTTCCCCTGTGCACGGTGTTCACACTCAGATCCTCGCCACAGTACACCTCAGATGTGACCACTGTGCCCTTGTCACATAGCACGGCCACAGTGGGTCCTATCCTTTTATTCATACCTAGTGTCCTATCCAGTCACACCTGAGGCCATCTCATGCTGTTTCACAACATACAACATCAGAACTGGTCACGCTGCAGCATCCTCTGTCACCCAGGATGTCACTGGTTCTGCCTCTGACACATGCAGCCTCACATTTGTGCACACCCTCCTCAGGCACACACACAGATGGCCAAGCAGTTTCCCTCACAGACTCCAGTGTGATGGCCACACACACAGGGAACGTCACCCATACAGCTTCCCACATAAGCATGCAGTGAAGATTTGCAGATTCTCCCAGGGACTTATATTGCCAGTCACACAGAGAAAATGTCACAGTGGCTCTCACATGCATGAATTTCACAAAGTAACAGAAAGTTTCTCTCACATACATTTCCAACCTCCCAGGAACTGTGGAGCACAGGCCTCTCCCACACACATTCATCCGACACACGGTCTCATCCACACAGTGTCACACTCCCGGCCTCTCTCGCACACCCAGCATCACACACAGTTGCACTGTTTTCCCCGTATCACTTCCTGTCCAATCGAGCCTGGCAGGGAGTACAGGAAGCAATCAGCACTCTAGGAAACCCCAAGGGCTGAGGTTTTGCAGGGGGATGGAATTCTCAACGGGCCCTAGCCTCCAGCCCCCTGTGGGTCCAAGGGAAGGAGCAGGGCCCTCTCCAGTTGGGCAGCAGCCACTCCTGAAGCAGATCTCCAGGGAAAGGCCGTGGGGACAATGCTGAGTGTGACCTGCTGACCTCCCAGCTCTAACTAGAGAGGCTCTTGGGTGGCTCTTGCCATGTCCTCAGGGCTGCCCAGAGGTCCTCGGAGACCTAGATCCTGAAGGCCACCTTTTACACCCCACCGCTTCTGCTGCCCTGTGTGGGAAAAAGAGGCCGGGAACCTCCTGGGCACCTCCACAGAGGACGGCAGCATTCAGACCCTCAAAGCTCCCCAGCTGGCACCACCAGCTTCCTTCTCACTATGAACTCCGTTTCTGCTCCACTGTACCCTGAGCAAGGAGGTGGGTAGGACAGGCAGCTCCTGTTCCAGCCTCTTCCACAGTGAGCCCTAGTGGGCCCCCAGAGGGCTCTGGGAGTGGAACAGAGGGGCAGCCATCCAGGTGGTCTCTGAACACCCCATTTCATCTAGCCCTGCTATACCCTACTCCAGACGACAAGTTTCCCCAACTCTACTGGGCCTCCCTGTCCCTTGACACCTGCTGCAGGCAAAGTTTTCAGCCATGTCTACCTGGTGTAGCTACTCCTCACCGCCTCCCACCCTGTCTGTCTTGCCTTCTTCGATGCACCATTTGGGAGAACCCACACAACTGTCTTGAACCCACCTGGTTCAAGCTCACTGAGGGGAGGAGAAGGAAGGTAAAGGAGGGATACAGAGACTCTGGGAGGGCTCCAAGAAAAGACACCCGAGAAAGTCATTTATTCCAAGCAGGGAAACTGAGACCCAAAAGACTTCAACTTGACACAGTTAGTGAAAGGTTCACCTGGGACCAGATCCCTAATTTCTTGACCTCCTCTGTTGAGCTACCTCGTCTTGATTTAGTTTGTCTCCAACCAGCAGTGTATATTAGGGTCTGCAAACCTGTGAGGGCCAGCATGGGGCTTAGGGCATGCATGCTCAGGGGCACATATGTCAACACACAGGCACACACACTCAAAGCTCTCTCCTGCCAACCATTGACCATTCTGCTCAGCCATGTCCCAGCACATATGTGCTAATTAGCATTAATTACTGTTACCTCCTGGGAGATGGGGGCGGGAGCAAGAGCCTGAGATGCTTATAGGTTCCTAGCCACTCCAGAAGGAGTGGGGATACAGGGACCCTGAAGTGACCCTCACCAGATAGATAACCAATCTGGGAAGATACACACATCGGTCTATCCCCTGCCCACAGGGTGAGCAGGAACCCAGAAGAGCACAAAACCAGGTACTTTGGGGGTACCTCTAGAGGAGAGGGTCTTGGGAAGGGGCTATAGGAGTCTGAAATCCCCCCAAGCTTCCAACCTTTTAGGAATTCTGCTTTCCCTCCCGGCCCCAGGTTGCACGCAGCATCCTGGTCAAGGAGATGTCCTGGCACCCAACTCTGGGATGGAACATGTATTCACAGAATTAGGCCTCAGGAGACCCTGATACACAGAGCCACCACCAGCACTAGACCCTCTGAGCTGTATGCAGCCCCCATCCCCCTCCTCTGTGCTGGACTACAAGTCCAGGCCTGACCTGGTTCTGCCCCTACCTGGAGAGAGGGAAGACAGAAAGAGGAAGCCCTCGCCCAGGGCCTCATGCCCCCTTCCCTGAATCTCAGCTCTGAACCAGGACAGAGTGGGAAAGGTGACAGAGTGGGGTCTCAATGATACTGCCCCAGAGCCTGGTTGGGCTGGAAAACAGACCCTTCCTTCCCAGACCAGCACGCCAGTCCTCCCTTTCCCCAGGCAGGAATAGGGCATGACACAATGAGGGGACCCGGTGGGAAAGGGTGCACCAGCCGCCCTCCAATACTCTACTGTCTAAAGAAGGGCCCTGAAGAAGTGCCGCGAAGGCCCCAAATCCCACCCCTCCGAGCTCTGAGCTGGAACTCCGACTTCCATCCTGACGCGGGCAGCAGAACTGCAGCGAACTTGAGCCCCTGCCTTTTGAGGGGCACACAGGCGGGGCGCACAGCTTGGCTCCCTGACACCCTCCACAATCCAGTGCAGCCGCAGGCACCGCGCGCAAGAACCCGCCCGAGCGCCGGGAGGCCCGGCCCAAGGCCTGCCTGGAGCTGGGGCCCGGCGGGCTCCTGGAGAGCGCGGGCCGGGAGTCCAAAGGGCGGCGGGGCCCGGGACTGGGCGCCCCGGGTACAAGTCCCGGGTGGCAGGCCCTCCAAACCGTGCGGTCTCAGGTGCCGGTGCGGACACCCGAAGCGCGAACCGACCGACAGGCGAAGGCACGGGGGACACAGTCTCCCGGCTTCCCTACTCCGCGGACCGACTAGTCCCGGTCGCGGGGGGGGGGGGGGGGGGGGGCGGGGCTTCCCGGAGAGATTTTCTCCCCCTTCCCTCTAAACTTCCCGGCACCCAGATCCGGGGCTCCAGCTCAGGGTGGACAATAGCTCGGGACCCTGCCCCTCTTGAGCGTTTCCCCCGATTCAGAACCAACCAACCAACCACCTCTCCCAAGCAAGGCCTCCTCCCGGCGTCCGCCGGGCTTACCTGGTCCGAGCTCGGGGGGGCGCTCCGGCCGGGCAGCTCCACCGGGCCCGCGGAGCCGCGAGGGGGGTCGGGGAAGGGGGGTCGTGGGGAGGGGGCTAGCCGGAATGTACGGAATGAGCCGGGCCGGAGCGGGAGGCGCCGGGCGTGGAGGAGGGAGCGAGCGGGACGGAAAGTTTGTGTTGAGGAGCCGGGCGGGGGTGGGGGCTGCGGGAAGGAGGGGGCGGGGCGCGCAGGGGGCGGGCACAGGCCGCGAGGGGCGGGCCCGCGTGGAGCCGCCCGCCTGCGCTCGCGCTGTCCACTCGGCGCCCGCGGGACCCGGGGCCGCTCTGGCCTCCCGCGCCTGGGCGCCCTGCTCCTCGCCCGGCGGCGCGGCGCCCCCAACCTCCCACCGCACACCAGCCTCACCCTTCCCCAGTACCCCGCCGGAATTTGGGGCTCCGGCCTGGGGCGGTGCCGAGGGCGGAGCTCCCGCCTCCGAGGCTGGGCTCCCGTCGGTGTCCGGGGCCTGGGGTGCCGCGTCACGAGGAGTTCAGCGGAGCCGGAGCGCACGGGCCTCGGGACTCCCCACCCCTCCACCCGAGTCCTGAGCCGCCGAGGCGGGCGCCCCCTCCCGCCCGAGAACCCGCCCCCCACTCCCGGGGCCCCAGACCGGGCTCCGCCCTGGCGACTGTGCCCGCCCTGCCCGGACCCGGTTTGTCTGGTTCTCCCCGAGTGGCTTGTTTCTCGAATTTCTCCTTTTCTCCCTCTTCCCGGACCGCCGGGGCCCTCCCTCTCGGGCCGCTCCTGGGGGCCCCCCGCGGGGGGCATCTCGACACTGCGCGCCCTCCGAGTTTCGGTAGGACCCGCGACGGCGGGGAGCAGGGGACTCGGGAGCGCCCGGGGCTGAGGCGGGAGCTGGGCGGGGAAGAGGCTTTCAGCCCGCCCTCCGGACCTCTCCCGCGCTGCGGACCCTCCCGCCCCCGACTCTCCGCGCGCGCCGAAGAACCACCGCTGCGCTTGGCCTGGCACGCGACTTTATTGGAGATGTGGGTACCTGACCCTCGTTACCCGCCACTGCCCCCTCCTCCGAACCCGCCCCAGCTCCTCCGAGCCCTAGCTTGGTCCCAGAGGGGGTTAAAACAACACTGACTACTGCTCCCGGACAGGAAGTGACTGGGGCGCGGGGAGGAGGGGGGTGAAGCAGCGCAGGCGAGCTCCGCGACCAGATGTGCGGCTCCAACTCCAGATGTTCTTCATCTCCATCCCAGCCGCCGTCTGAGCTCCGCCCGCTTCGGCCAGTGCCAGGCTGGGGAGCGGACCGAGGTCACCGAAAGGCAGTGAGGGGTCAATCCCCGATAGGGGAGGGGCCTTTCGTGGGGGTTGTGGTGGAGGGACCGTGCCACCTTCCACTGAATCCTTTCTCCCACGCAGGCGAGCCCTTAAGGGCTGCTGGGGTCATTCGCAGGCCAGCTTCCCGTCGAAACTGGAGAGGGCGATGGCGAAGGCCTGTAGGGCGCACAGCGGGTACCGGTAGTCTAGGGTGAAGGCGTCCTCTGCCACGCGTCCGAATTGCAGCACGATATAGTCCGCTGTGGATACAAGACGGTGGGGGCGGTCCCAGACCTCCTTGGACCCCCATCCTGGCAGACAATGCTCTTCACAGGGAGAAGTCTCTTTCCCTTTGGAGCGCCAATCCTCAACCAACCTCCACCCATCTCTCCATATCTCATCCAACCAGCACCACTTGTACTTTACCCTCTGTCACTGTAAGCCCCCAGGGACAGGGGCCCTGCCTTATCTGCTGTGGCCCAGAGCCATGCTGAAGGAGGCACTTAATCAAGAGCAGGACGACCCTGTCAACCTTAACCAAGCCCAGAACCCTTCCTTCCCAATTCTTCTGTTGTCTTTAGACCCTATTTCTTCTTCATATCCTTGGTCCCCCAAGTCCCATGTTCTACCCCAGGCTCCCTTCCTTAACCAGTGCTCCCCCTCACCCACTCTCCCCTTGTGATCCCTGTTCCCAGCCCCAGTCTCAACACCTCCCCCAGCATCCATAGGGACAGGAAGTTGCTAAAAATACTCCCAAACCCTGGTCTGGTGGCAGACCAGGCTTCACCAGAAATGTGATCTGGAAAGCAGTCCCAAGGCCAGGGGACAGGTGACACTGGGCACATCCCCAGGATGCAGTGGGGGATGGGGAGTTGCTTAGTGTTGGCCTAACCCTGTGAACCTGGAGTCCTTTGGGAGACACTGTCCTATCCCTAAACTTCCTCACCCTAGTGGGGTCTTTTCCCCCAAGCTTGCAACAGGGCCGTTTTCACTTAATTGTTATCTTTTGACCTCAATTAAGACATACAGCGGGCACTAAGAAATGTTGGTTTAATATTCCCTGCTCCAAAAAGGCAACCGTCTTGAAGAGGGTTAAGAGCATGGGCACTGGAGACAGACTGTGAAGGTTCTAATCCTAGGTCTACCTCTTACTAGCTGTTTGAACTTGGGCAAGTTACTTAACTTCTCTGTGCCATAGTATTCTCATCTGCCAAATATAGATAATAATAGTACCTTCCTCATGGGGTTGAAAGGATATAATGATGCAATATCTGCAAAATCCCAAGAACAGTGTCTGGCACATAGAAAGCACTGTGTCATTTTGGTGAAATAAATTTTGAGGGCCAGTTTAATTGCCTGGAATAACTGAGAGACTGGGAAAAGGGCTGCCCTCTCTGAGCCTCAGCCCTCTCTTTGACCACAAAGGGGTTGGGCTCTTGGTGGTTTTCAAACTCCAGCAGCTCAACGCTCCGTTCAACACAGTCTTACCCAGAATGTCCCAGAACCTACCCCAGAGTTCTGGTCAATGCTTGAACAAGAACTTGAACAGTAAACCTCAAGACAGCTGCGTGCAACATCTGAGGTTCCTGGGAGTGCAACGTGACTGCCCGTGGAGGAGAGTGACCATGCTGGATATTTCAGCTACAGGCTTGAGAGTGAGAGCCGGGCTAATATGTAGAGGGAGAGGCCTGGGTGGGGGTCCTGGTCCTAGGGATGCTGGGGAACAACCTGACCTGGCCTGCAGATACTTACGGTCATCAGAATGGATGATCTGGAAGTTCTTGACCGAGGCCTGAGTGACCCGGCCTTGAAAGTTGAGTGTGTAAGAGCCACTGTCTTCATTCCAGACAGGTGGCTTGTTGTGCAGCTCGATGAGACTCTCCAGGGTCTTGTTCTGCCAGCGTATCAGCAGCCCATCACTGGCCTGGGAGCCAGGGGTGAGGTAGGGGAGAGCAGACAGGGAGAGGATGGTTAGAGCTGGCCGGGATAGCTTGGTGCTGACCCTGGCAAGCCACAGGTGTGCAGGCTGGCCATTGATGTCCAATCAGGGCGTTTTAGAGCATGCTTGGCACCGGCAGGGTCCTAGTGGCCAGGGTGCACATCCGTGAGAATGGGGTATGTCTAAGGGGGTGCCCAAGTAGAGGGCTGGAGACTGGAAAAGGGCCCCTGGCACCCAGGGGCTGTGTGCCATTGGTGCCTGAGGGTCCTTGGAGATGGCCACAGGCTGCCATCCATTACGGGGATAAACCGAATGTTCTAGAACCTTCCAGGAGAGCACAGTTGAGCTTGGTAAGACGGACAGGTAGACAGTGGCCAAAAAGAATGTCCTTGGAGGAGAGTTTCTGAAAGGAAGGAGCAGCCTCTGTAGGACAGTGCTTGTGAGATGGTCCTTTCCCAGTGTCCTTGTCACCTATTCGGGGTTCAAGATCATCTCTTACAAGGAGACTTCCGAACCCCACATGGAATTTAAGCACCTCATCCCTGAGTCCCTGTGGCTTCTTGCTCTTATGCTCCCTCTACAGCACTGAAACAGACAGACCTGGACACCCTATTGTTGGAACAGGGTGCCTCACTCTCTTTCCCAGAGGCCTCTTGTGAGGATTCAGTAGGTTAACAGCACTTGGAGTGTTAGAGCACAGAGTGTTGTTTTAAATAAATAGATTATTTACTGAGCAGTCAAACCACTGTGTTGCATTTGGATCTCTGGTACCCTGCACAGAGTATGCGTTTAATAAATGATTGCAGGATGAGTAAACTGCACATTTGGTTTTTACCAAGCCCAAACTAGATGTGTGTGTTGACCCCAGGCACAGAGGGGCAGCTGTGGGACCCATGCGCTGAGAACCTCAAGATGGAGCCTCTCACGGCTTGTGCCCCACAGCTCAGCCTGGCCTGGCTATGGCCTGGCTCTGTAGCAGGAGAGGATGTGGAGGGATCAGCTGACAGGGGTATTACTTTTCATTGTAAATGAGTAAAGTGACATCAGTATCCTGTGAGTATGGTACAAGCCAATCACTCTGAAATCCTGGACTCACCAATTTGTAGAGCTCAGGAGCAGAGCCCAGAATTGGCAATCTCCAGGACACCTCTCCCCCCAGGCCCACACAAAACAATCTCTGCTTTTAAAAATATGCCATGTCATGCCTTTGCTCAAAACCCTTCCATGGCTTCCTACTTCTCTCAGCAAAAAACCAGTTAGGCACCTATCTCCCTGTAGGCCCTCTCTGCCCTCATCCTCACCTCTGACCTCAGGTCACTCCAGCCAGCTAGCCACTCCTCAAAGCAGGCACCCTGTGCCTCAGGGCCTTTGCACTGGCTCTTTAGATGCCCTTCCCCCAGATATCTGCTGACTTGCTCCTTCACCTTCCAGAGTGCTTAGATCTCATCTTAATGAGGCCCTCTCCAACAATCATATTTGATATTGAAAACTTAACACCCACACTTGCTATCTCCCTTTTTTCCACTATCATGCTCATTTATCTCAGTTATCGTCTAGTGGCTGCTTCCTTCCACCACAATGCCAGCTTCCAGGGGCACTTCTTTGTTTTGTCCACGGATGCCTTCCAGGTACCTAGAATGCTCCATGCCACTGCTCCATGCTCCATGCTATCTGTCAACTCTGTGAATATGAGTGGACGATTTGATAACACTTTGGAAAACTCTGTGTGGTCCTGTCAGTGAATTCAATTACAAAGAACCTGGATTCATTTCACAGTTGCAGAAGGAGTTTGTGCAGAGGTTGGTGTGTGTGTCAGCGGATTGGGTGCTGGGTCCCTTCCTCCCTGTTTCCCCAGAGGGGGCCACATAGGGAACAAGACCTTCCAGGGCCAGGGGCCAGGGGATGCTGGGCTCACATTTCGGGGTCGGATGGGGACCCTCTCGTTTTCTGTATTCATGCCAGGAATGATGACCGTCATGCGCCGGGGACCTCGGAAGCCCAACACGTTGGTTTCCTGGGAGGGAGATGCCCATTAGGCCGGCCCCCTGCACGAGGAGGAGCCTGGCAGGGGACAGGAGGAGTTCTCACATAGATCACAGCTGCCAGCTCCTGGCGAAGGCTCCCCAGGTCAGTGCTGCTTCCTCCCCGCTGTGGGTTCTGCCCGTTGTCAAAGACGGTGAAGCGGTTCCCTAGGAGGTTGGACCTGCAAGCAAGGTGGACCTGGAGGCCAGGCTGGAGGCATTCCACATCCTGCCCCACAGCCTTCAAGTTTGGAGAGCAAGGTGGCTTTTTTTAGGACTGAGAAATTCATGACCCTACCCCAGGTCTCCCTCTCTTCCTATAGCTGAATCTATAGGAAGACTGAGCAGTATTCAAATCCCAGCTTCCTCTTTTACACTGGCTGTGTGACCTTAGGCAGACAACTTAACCTCTCCAAGCATCAACTTTTCCATCTAGAAAATGGACATCACGACCATATTTCCCTGGCTGGGTGCAGAGGCCCACAGCTATGATCCCAGCCACTCAGGAGGCTGAGGTGGGAGGAGAGCCTGTGCCAAAATTTTTAAAAGGGCTGTGAATGTGGCTCAATAGTAAAGTGCCCCTTAGTTCAATCCCCAGTACCACACACACACAAAAAAAATAAATAAATGAATGAATATCTCCCCTCCTTTTGTTGATAAAAGGATGAAATGACTTAATATCTGGAAGTTGCTTAGGTTATGCCTGCTGCGTTCCTAGGCCTTATGTAAGTTTTTGTGAAATGCATAAACAAGCAACAAGGCCTCACTTCCCAGTGCCCCCCTCCACACTTGTGGCCAGGGTGGATGAGCAGCTTAAGGCCTTTGTGCGCTTTCCTTCACCCAGGGATGCTGGTTGAGTGGCTACTGTAGACCAGGTGCTGGACATTCAGCCACTAACAGGACAGGGTGGTTCCTGCCCTCCTGGAGCCAATGCCCTGCTCCAAGCGAGGAGCAGGGGTGTGGACGTCACCTGGGGACTCACTAGAAAAAGGAGTGCCTGGGGCTCACCCCAAACGCCCTGAACCATGGGGCCACTGCTAGCCACAGTGGGTCGGAGACGACTGCCTACGGCCCCCTAGTGACCTGACCGCCCCAGCCCCAGGAAGCCAACCCACCTCAGTTTCCCAATGAAATTCTCCCCTCCTCTGGACAGGTTGGTAGGGTCGCTGGAGATGAGGTAATTGGCGGTCTTGCTCCGCTTGCGTTTCCTGCCAGCCAAGAGGAACACCTGGGAGGGGTGAGGGCAGAGGATGAAGGGAGGACAGGGCGCCTGGGGACAGCGAGAAGGCCCATCCGATCCCGGCCCCGACCCTCCCTCGGCCAGCTCTCCCTCCTGCCCACCTTCCTGTCGGCGTCCAGGTGCAGGAAGTAGGAAGGGTACATGCCCTTGTCCATGCCCCTCTTGTCCCGGGTCAGCCGGCAGCGCACCGTCCGGCCCTGGGGCGCGGGCCGCAGCACGAAGGTCTGGGGATCGTCCACCTGCAGCGGTGGGGACGGCGCCCGCTCCTCCTTCTGGGTGGGCAGAGGGTGGCTCAGCCCCGGGCCAGCGCCCCCTCAGCAGGTCCCGGGCGCTGGGACGCGGGCAGGGCGGGCGGGACCACTCACCGCTTTCTGTGCGGGGAGAAGAGTCCAGATGGAGCAGCGGGACCGGAGCCAGGACCCACCGCCCGGTCCCTGAGCCCCGCGCACCGCGGCGCCGGGGCTTCGTGCTTCCTTGTTATCTGACTTAGCTTGTGGCTCAGAGCCCAGCCCCTGGAGCTGGACGGCGTGGTGGGTTCAAATCCTGGGTCACCACCAAACGCCTGTCCTGTTGATCGTCCCCTTTCCTTTTTTCACATTAACTGTGTAACAGGGAACTAGTACCAAGGTTTCAGGGAGACACATCTCACACGGTGGGGTGAAATTCCAGTCAGCGCCCTCATGAACCACAAAGGATCTGGGATATATATTTATTATTACTATTATTATTATCATTTTGTTACTGGGGATTGATTAGACCCATGGGTGCCTAACCACTGAGCCACATCCCCAACCCCCTTTTTAAAACTTTTATTTTGAGACAGGGTCTCATTAAGTTGCTTAGGGCCTCACTAAATTGCTGAGGCTGGGTTTGAACTTGCAATCCTCCTGCCTTCGGCCTCCTGAAGAGCTGGGATTACAGGTGTGCACCATCAAGCCTGGTTATCAGAGACTTTAGACAGATCTTCCCTCGTGAGGACACTGCATCAGAGGGGTGAACCGGGGCTGAATGGAAGCACGGCTGTGTCCTCCCCGTGGTGGCAGCACTGTCCATGGGTTAGCTGCTGCCATTATTGGTAGCATAGAGCAAACACTCAGTGGATCTAGTAGCCCACTTCCCAGATGGCCCCAGTGATTCCTGCCTCCTAGTATTTATATTCTTCTTTAGTCTCCTCCCACAGTGTGTCAGGGTTGGTCTTTGTGACCAATAAAGTATGGCAGAAGTGAAGGTGAGTCACCTGCAAGCTGGGTCACATAAGATATTTTGGCCTCTGCCTGCCTTTTTTTGTTGGGCTCTGGGAGAAGTCGACTGCCATATCATGAAAATAGCAGCACCGGGGAGAGCTCAAGTGGAGAGGAACAGAGGCCTCCACCCAACACCACGGCAGTGAATCATTGTGGAAGTACACTGTCCACTTCCAGGCCAGCTCTGGAGGACCACAGCTCCTGCTGACACCTTGACTGCAACCTTATGCCAGACCCTGTGCCAGAACTGCCCTGCCAACCCCCTCCCATATTTCTAACTCCCAGAGACTGCATAGAAAATAAATATTTCTTGTTTAAAGACACAAAGTTTTGGGGAAATTTGTTACATGGCAATACCTAGCTAATACATGAATGTGTGAATATGCTCACTTTGCTCTTAGGAAAACTCCCAATAACATTCAGTTACATAAGGACCTAGGGTGGGCTGGTGGCCCCATAATGGTCACTTCTGTTCTCACAGACCTGGTGCCCTTTGTCTTCATGTTCTATCGGAGGGGATCCAAGATTCTAAGCCTAACTTGATGGAACATCAGGGAGAAAACAGACTACCACCATGGTGTGTGCACTTGAGGATTAAATGCTCTGCGTAACCCACTCAGAAGCCCGGGTGTGCCATGGCTGGCCATTTCTAGTGAGGGCAGTTTTGCCCTGTGTGAGGTGAGTGTGGTGGAACAGTGGGCCCTTAGCCAGAGGGCAAACAACCTTCGACTCTCCACTCCATCCTGCTTCAGAAGAAACTCGGGAAACACAAGACTATGTTTGGTATGTGATGTGGAGAAAGCCAGAACTTATTCAAATACTTCCACAGCTGTGAATTTCAAGGGCCTACTGCATTGAAGGCTATTCTGCAATTATACTGCCCCTGGGAGATAATAAATTGGCCTTTCAGTTTATACATCAGCATCTGGCCATCTTGGTTAATGTGAATCAGTCCCACAAGACCTGACCACTCCCGCACAAACTAATAAACCCACAAAGCTAAGACCGGGGCCATACCCTTGCCATGCTCTCTCCACTTGTGGAAACCTGTTCCTCAAAGACTTTTATCTTTCATCACTTTTTTTTTTTTTTTTTTTTTGCTGTTGTTAAACCTCCCTCTCCTCTTCACTCCAGCTGAAATGTATTGGTACCTGAGTTCTGTTTGTGAGCAGGGGCAATATCCAAAGTATTTAACAACCTGTTCTGCCTGTGGAGAATGCCCAGTCCCTGGTAAGCTTGGAGGAGAAGCTTGGAGGCCCAGGATAACCAGGCGTTAACTCTTTAGTTGCTGGATTGTTTAGATGGTGGGAGGTCCTGGGGAGGGAACTCAGAGCAACAGGGTGGAAATAACTGGTACAGCCAGTTGACTGTCAGCTGCTCCACGTGCCCGAAGGTGTGTACTGATGTGTCCCTCTGCCTGTGTGCTCACCTTCTTTGAACTGAAAAATGTGTGTCTCTTCACAAGGCCCTATGGAGACATCTCTGTCTGTGTGTTGGCAAAGGGGAGGCCTCAGTCACCAGATGACATAAAGCCTTTGGGTGACCAGTCCTAGCCTGGTGACCCCACAAATGCCTCCCCTGTTCTTAGAAGCCTGATGTCCTTTGTCCTTGTATCCTGTCCCAAGGTGGGGGACAAGATTCTAACTCCTAGTGGACCCAAGACCCCAACCCACAAGGCTCCACGCTCTAGGGCCCCAAGTCCAGGACCTGCCACTCCTCCCTGAAGGGTCCTTGGCCCTCCCTCGCTGGGCTCTAACCTTCTTGCCTCTTCCTTTGGCTTTGCCCTTCTGATTGCTGTTCTTGGGTACTGCCGTTGCCACCTCTTCCTCCTCTTCTTCCTCCTTGCCCTCCTCTGCTGGGCCTTTGGGCAGCCCTGGGCATGAGGGAAAATGGCTGTGAACTCCTTACCCTAGTTGTCTGAGGCCTTCCAACACCCTGGGGCTCACTTGGAGCCTCCCCACAACAAGAAGGTCCACCCCATGTTATTATCAGAGCCTCAGAAAGCCTGAGACACTTGCTTGGGACCACACAGCTCTCAAAGTGGGTGATCAAGAAGCACCCTAAATTTTCTGACTCTCAAACCCACACTTGTCACCTGTGCTGTACCACATGACATAAATGTTACCAGCTGCCCACCTCTGGGACCGCCTCAAGATGTCATGGCACCAGAGGCCACTGCTACCCACCTTTCTTCTTCAAAGCTTTCTCCGCTGGGCCATCTCCCCCAACTAGAAACATGGCGGCTGGGTTCTTCTTCCTCACTCTGGCTGGACTCTCTGAGGGGTCCTTGTCAGCCTCTTCAGACCCTGCACAGTGAGCAGGCTAAAGGGTCACAACCCCCACCACATCACAATCCCCTGCACCTCCTTGGGTGGGCTCACCTTTCTTCTTTGTCTTTCTGATCCTGGTCCCCTCCCCAGCTTCCTTCTTAATGCGAAGAGGTTTACGAGGGGCGTCAGGGCTTCCAAGGTCCCCTGGAAATGGAAGATGGGGGCTAGGAAAAGAAGGTGCTTCACGGGGCTGAAGAACTTTCCTCTTCCTTCCTCCAGTTCCTGAGGCCTGACGGGGGCCTGCAGCCTTCTGCTAGTCTATGTCCCCAACCCCCCAGTTCAAAGAAGCAAAAACTAGGAGCCTAACAAGTTACCACATGAATAGATTAAAGCATGTACACACACACACACACACACACACACACACCAGGCCCTTTACCTGAGCTCCTGAATCCTGCTGTCCCACCTTCTCCAGGAAACCAGCTCAGGCCGGAACCCCTAGTCCTCTGATTCTCCCCAGAGATCCAGGGTTCTTACTGTTCTAACTGCCTGATCCCATGTGGGTCAGACTCCAGGCACCTTCAGGCTGAGGCACCCAGGCCAGGAAGCCATGGCAGCATTTATTGATTGATTTTTTTTGGGGGGGCCATTGGGGGATGGAACTCAGGGGCACTCAACCACTGAGCCACATCCTCAGCCCTTTTTTGTATTTTATTTAGAGACAGGGTCTCACTGAGTTGCTTAGGGCCTTGCTATGTTGCTGAGGCTGGCTTTGAACTCACCATCCTCCTGCCTCAACCTCGGAGCCACTAGATTCACATGCATGTGCTAAGGTGTCTGGGTCATTGATTTCTTTTTACTGCTATCAGTTTGATACTTTTATAAAACATTACAACCCTCATTCACATTGAGTTAAGAAAAAAAAAAAAACAGGGCTGGGGCTGTGCCTCAGAGGTAGAGAGCTTACTTAGCATGTGTGAGGCACTGGGTTGGAGCCTCAGCACCACATAAAAATAAGCAAATAAAATAAAGGCATTGTGTCCATCTACAACTACAATTTATTTTTTTAATGAGTATCCTGGGCAGGGGCCAGGGTAGGGGTGTGTGTGTGGGAGCACATAATGATCTATATCCTTAAGGACTGTGGGGGAAGAAACTCTGAGGAAGAACCCTCCTGTGAAGCTTCTAGTCACATTTGAGGTTCAGCCTGCATGCAGGTGAGCCCCAGCCCTCAGGCTAGCCCACATTTGCTTGCCTCTGTCCACAACTCAGTACCCACCCCTTGGGCCCTGGGCCTTGGACCTCCTTTCCTTCCTGTCTGCAGAAGCCTTCTTTGGGGGTTTCTTAGCAGACAGAGGGGTCCTCTCTTTCTTTCCTTCTTCCTCCTCCTCCTCCTGGTCTTCCTCTTCATCCTCCTCTTCCTCATCTGTAGATAGAACTTCTTCATAATGGGGGCTGGGGCTGGGGTGTGCCCCCCTTCCCAGATTGCTGGGAAGGGGTGAATGGGCACCTTGAGGTCCGGGACAGGAGGCGCGCTGGCACCTTCCTGGAAGAATGAGGGGGGCCTCCAAATCCCCAGGTTTTCAGGTCGGGAGGGTGGGCTTTGGCTGCAGGATGCTCTTCTGGGAAACAAGCCCTTCTAACTGCAAGCCCTTCCTGACTCCCTTCCCTTCCTCTCTGTCTTCCCATTTCCCTTTCTCCACTCCCCTCTCACTGGGTCCTCCTCTATGTCCTTGTCCCACTCTTCCTGAACCCCCAGTCAGTGCCATTTGGGCTACTTCTGGCTCCTAGCTGTTGCTTAAGGCGAAACTCTTAACCTCTGCGGGTCTCAGTTTCCCTGTCTGTAAAATGGGGAAAATAATAAGAGAATCAACCTCCGGAGGTGGGTGCTTAGCACCTCACGGGCTCCAAGTCAAAGCCAGAGCACAGAAGGCGGTTTTCACTTGTCTTCTGGGGTGCTCCCGCCCAGCCCCTCCCCTCACCAACCCTCCCTCACCAACCCTCCCCTCCAGTCCTCTCACCGTCCTCGGACTTTGGGGCCCGGGCTACCAGGAAAGTTTCCCGGGGATCGCGCTTCTTGGCCTCGGGGTCCCTGAGGAACTTGGCGTAGACCGTGGGCTCCGGGGTGGCCTCCTCCCGTGGCCTCTGCCTCCGCCCAGCTGGGCCGAGACACGGGGCTCAG